GTTTGGGGGGGTCGTCAGGGGGGTTTGAGGGGTCCCCGGGGGGGTTTGAGGGGTCCCCGGGGGTGTTTGAGGTGCTTTGGGGGGTCCCCAGAGTGGTTTGAGGGGTCCCCAGGGTGGTTTCAGGGAATCTCTAGGGTGGTTTGGGGGATCCCCAGGGAGGTTTGAGGGGTCCCCAGGGGTGTTTGAGGTGGTTTGGGGGTCCCCAGGGAGGTTTGAGGTGGTTCAGGGGGTCCCCAGGGTGGTTTGGGCGTCCCCAAGGTGGTTTGAGGTGGTTTGGGACCCCAGGAGATTTTGGGGTGACCCCAGGAGATTTTGGGGTGTCCCCAGTCTGAGAACTGGACGTTTAACTGGGCCAAGGTGCTGAACGTGGGCGTGAAGGAATGGTTTAGAGGGGATGGTTTGGGGTGCTCCCAGGAGGACTTGGGGTGCTCCGAGGAGGATCTGGGGTGACCCCAGGAGATTTTGGGGTGTCCCAGGCTGGGAACTGCACGTTTAACCGGGCCAAGCTGCTGAACGTGGGCGTGAAGGAGGCCCTGAAGGACGAGGACTGGGACTGCCTGTTCCTGCACGACGTGGACCTGATCCCCGAGAACGACCACAACCTCTACACCTGCGACCCCTGGAACCCCAAACACGCCTCCGTGGCCATGAATAAATTCGGCTACAGGTGAGCCACGCCCTCGGGGACACCCTGGGGACACCCTGGGGACGCCAGCTCAGTGTCCCCTGTGTTCCCCAGCCTGCCCTACCCGCAGTATTTCGGGGGGGTCTCGGCGCTGACCCCCGACCAGTACATGAAGATCAACGGGTTCCCCAACGAGTACTGGGGCTGGGGGGGTGAGGACGATGACATCGCCACCAGGTAGGGCTGCGGACAGCCTGGGGACAGCTGGGGACGCTGCCATGGCACGGGGGGGTGGCACTTGGCGGGGTGGCATCGTGTGCCCACTGAGCTGGGCGGGACACAAGGGGTGTTCTGTCACCTTGGGGGGCACAGAGGGCGTGACATCACTTTGAGGGGGACACAGCGGGTGTGACGTTGTCCTGGAGGGGACAAAATTGGTGTCCTGTCACCCTGGGGGGGGGGACACAAGAGGTGTGACAGTGCCCTGGGGGGGACATGGGGAGTGTGGCATTGTCCTGGGGGGCACATGAGGGGTGTGACATTGCCCTGGGGGAGGACACAGAGGGTGTGACGTTGTCCTGCAGGAGACAAAAGGGGTGTCCTGTCACCCTGGGGGGGGGACACAAGGGGTGTGACAGTGCCCTGGGGGGTGTTCTGTCACTTTGAGGGGGAAGGGACACAGGGATGTCCCCGTGCCCTTTCCCCCCAGGGTGACGAGGTGATGGTGTCACTGTGTGGTGGCCGTCCCTGTCCCCTCAGGGTGCCACCGTGACCCTCCCTCCTCGCTGTCCCCACATTTGTGTCCCCAGCGCTGGGGACACGGGGGCTGTCCCAGCGCGCTGGCCCCACCCGGGGGCTGTCGCTGTCGCTGTCCCCGCCCCGCTGCCACCGCCGCGCTGTCCCCGCAGGGTGCGCCTGGCCGGGATGAAGATCTCCCGCCCGCCCGTCTCCATCGGCCACTACAAGATGGTCAAACACAAGAGCGACAAAGGCAACGAGGAGAACCCGCACAGGTCCGCAGCGAGGGCGGGGGGCTCGGAGATGGGGCGGGGGGCTCGGAGGGGACAGCGGTGACAGCCGAGGCGCGTCCCCAGGTTCGACCTGCTGGTGCGGACGCAGCGCACGTGGACGCAGGACGGGATGAACTCGCTGAGCTACGCGCTGCTGGCGCGGGAGCTGCGCCCCCTCTACACCAACCTGACGGCCGACATCGGCTGCGACCCCCGCGGCCGCGCCCGCGCCCCCCCCGCCAGCCGCTTCCGCGAGGAGATGCTGCGCAAGCCCCCCCGCGGGGACCTGCCGCCGCTGGCCTTGTCGCTGTCACCTCCCCGCGGCGGCGACAACAACAACAACAACGGCAGCGCGGCGCCGCCCCGAGGAGAGGGGACAGCCAGGGGACAGCGCGAGGGGACGGTGACAGCGAGGGGGGGCAACCAGAGCGTGGCACCCCCGCCCTGAGCCCCAAATCGCCCCCCACCCCCCCCGGGGTGGACTCTGGGCTGGGGGGGGACGCCCCCCCCCCCCCCCCCCCCCGCGGTGGGTCTGGGGTCCCCGGATCGGCGCGCGGGTATTTATTCTATTTATGAGCCGCTCCCTGCACCTTTCCAAAGGGTTTTTTTCAATTAAAAAAAAAATCATTTTGTCCTACGCTGGCGGCCTCGGGTGGGGGGGGGGGGTCGGGGATCGATGAGGGGGGGTCAGGCCTCGGGGAGGGACCCCAAAATCCTCCCCACGGCCGCCTTGGCGCTGGCGATGCAGTCGTTGACGGAGACCCCGGAGTAGGAGGCGCCGATCAGGCTCAGGGGCAGCTCCTGCTCCTTCAGGAAGCGCTGGATGCGCTCTGGGGGGACAGCGGCGGCAGCTGGGGACACTCTGGGGACAGCCAGGGACAGCAGAGCCCCCCCCCGGGGACAGGGGACACCCCCAGCCCTGCCCCACTCACCTAGGCGCTCCCAGTGTCCCAGCGTGTACTGGGGGATGCAGTCCTGGGTAAAAGGGAGAGGGGGGACACAGGTGAGCCCCTGAGAGCCACCCTGGAGTGTCACCCACCCCAGAGCCACGCCCGAGATGTCACCCACCCAGAGCCATTGTCCAAAATGTCACCCCTCCTTCCCAATGTTTTACCCACCCAGAGCCCGCCCCCGCCAAGCACCACCCACCCAGAATCCCCCCGAAATGTCACCCCCCACTCAAAGTGCCACCCACCCAGAGCCCCCCCGGTGTCACCCCCCGGTGTCCCCACCTGCTGCACCCTGACGATGGCGCGGGCAGGGGTCCCGGCCAGCCCCAGGTGGTCGCTCACGGCCGCCCGTGCCCGGCGCAGCAGCAGCTCCGGGGCCACCAGCGCGGGGTCCCCAAAGCTCTGCCGGAACCAGGCCCCGCCCAGCATCACCTGGGGACACCGTGAGACCCCCAAAATCAGCCCGGGACACCCACAGTGTCCCCAAGGCCACTCAGTGTCACCTCCCAAAATCACCCCTGTGACACTCCCAGTGTCCCCCCACCGTGAGCCCCCCCAAATCACTCCTGTCACTCCCCCTGGTGTCCCCAGTGTCGTCACCCCCTCAGTGTCCCCAGTGTCCCCCCCCGGTGTCCCCACCGTGAGCCGCAGCGAGGGGGTCCCGGGGGTCGCGGGGGTCCCGTCGTGCTCTGGGAACGCCACCGAGTCGTAGACGATGCCCAGGAGCGCGGGGTCCTCCGAGGATGGCACCAGGTGGCCAAAGCCCTGCGGGGGGGGGGGGCGAGCTGGGGTCACCCCCAGCTTGGGGACAGCGGGGACAGCTTGGGGACAGCTTGGGGAGCCGCTCACCGTGACGGGCAGCGCAGCCCCCTCGTACTGCAGGTTGACCACGGCCACGGAGGCGGCCGGGATCGCCCGGAGCTCCCGCGCCAGCGGCTCCGCCTCGGCCGGCAGCGCCCGCGCCAGCGCTGGGGACAGCGGCGACATCAGCCACACCGCGGCGACACCGCGGGGACGCCGCGGGGACACCGCGGAGACACCCCCCGCCCCGCCGTGCGGTACCTGAGGCCGGCAGGGCGCTGACAACGTGATCGGCAGCGAGGGTGGCATCGGGCAGCGTGAGCTGGGGACACAGCGGGGACACTGGGGAGGGCACTGGGGCACTGGGGAGGGGGCTGGGGACAGGACTGGGGGCACTGGGGAGGTGACTGGGGGCACGGGGACATTGGGGAGGGGTCGAGTGACTGGGAATCCCCCCAAGGGGCACTGGGGACAGGTCCGGGTGACTTGGGGACACCGGGGAGGGGACAGAGCTGGGGGACACGGGTGGGGGGATGGAGAGCGGGACGGGGACACAGGGAGGGGAGCGGGTGGCACCGCAGTGTCCCCACCTGCCAGCGGCCGCGGTGGCGGCCCAGGTGTGTCAGCGGCGAGTGGCAGCGCAGCTCGGCGCCGCGGGGGGACACGAAGGCCACCAAGGCGCGCGCCAGGGACTCCATCCCGCCCCGCAGCGACCACTGGCTCCAGCGCTCGGCCCGAGCCCGCCGCGCCAGCGCCGCCCCCGGGCCCGCCCCGCCGTCACCGGCGGCCACACCTGCGGCGACACCGGCGGCGACAACGTGACAACGCGCCGGGGGACCCGCGGTGCCCCCCGCGCCAGCCCTCGCTGGATCCCGCTGACAGCCACATCAGGGGTCCCCACGCTGTCCCCAGCCCCGTGTGGCCCCAGCCCAGGAGTGTCCCCACACTGTCCCCAGCCCCGTCCCCACGGTGTCCCCTGTCTCAGCCCCGTAGGATGGACCCGTCCAAGGGGTGGCAGCTGGGAGTCCCCGTGGTGTCCCTCCGCCCCTGTGCCCGCCAGATGCCAGCGCCAGCCCAGCAGTGTCCCCAGGGTGTCCCATCGTGTGGCAGTGCCAGCCCCAGCAGTGTCCCCAGGGTCCCCAGCAGTGTCCCACTGTGTGGCAGTGCCAGCCCCAGCAGTGTCCCCAGGGTCCCACCGTGTGGCAGTGCCAGCCCCAGCAGTGTCCCCAGGGTCCCACCGTGTGGCAGTGCCAGCCCCAGCAGCACGGAGCCGCGCCGTCGCTCGGCCTGGAACAGCGCGGGGAAGCAGCTGCGCACGCTCAGGGCCCGGCTGTCCCCGGCAAACACCCCCCGGCACAGAGAGTCCACGGCCAGCTCGGCCACCTGGGGACAGGGACAGAGGAACAGGGACAGAGGAACAGGGACAGGGACAGCGACAGAGGGACAGTGACACAGGGACAGGGACAGAGGATTTTGGGGGGTTCTGGGGGTGGTTCCAGGGGGTTTTGGGGTGGTTCTAGCACATTTTGGGAGGTACTGGGGTGGTTCCAGGGGGTTTTGGGGATTCTGGGGTAGTTCCAGGGGATTTTGGGGGTTCTGGGGTGGTTCCAGGGGGCTCTGGGGGGTTCTGGGGTGGTTCCAGGGGGTCCTGGGGTGGTACAACAGGACCCCACCCACCCCAGGGAGGCCCCGATAAGGCCGGGTGGGGCTGTGGGGGGTTATCGGGGTTTGGGGTGGGGCTGTGGGGGCTTTGGGGGTTATCGGGGGGATTCTGGGGTAGTTCCAGGGGATTTTGGGGGTTCTGGGGTGGTTCCAGGGGGCTCTGGGGGGTTCTGGGGTGGTTCCAGGGGGTCCTGGGGTGGTTCCAGGGGGCTCGGGGCCGGGGTCCCACACGCACCTCGGGCCCGAAGCGGCGCCGGGCGAAGGCGTGCGCGCTCTCGTCAGGGCCCGTCCCCGCCGGGGTCAGCAGATCCCGCAGAGCGCTCCAGAGCAGGGCCCGCTGGAACGGGGGGACGGCACGGAGCACGGCCCTGGGGACAGGGACGGGGAGGTGACACACCAGGGACAGGGGGGTGACACCGGGGACAGGGGGGTGACACCGGGGACAGGGGGCATGGCCTGCAGCACGGCCCTGGGGACACAGGGGACAGCAGGGTGACACCAGGGACAGCAGGGATGGCATTGGGGACAGGGGACAGGGAGGTGACACCAGGGACAGGGGGCATGGCCTGCAGCACAGCCCTGGGGATAGGGACAGCAGGGATGGCATTAGGGACAGCGGGGATGGCACCAGGGACAGGGGGCACGGCCCGGAGCATGGCCCTGGGGACAGAGGGGACAGGAAAGGTGACACTGGGGACAGGAGGTGGCACTGGGGACAGGGGGAGGTGGCCCTGGGGACAGGGGACACCCACCACAGCCCCGAGGGCAGGGGGTGCAGGGCCCCCCCCAGGTACAGGAAGCGGTTCCGCGCCGCCGGGTGGTCCCTGGGGACAGCCAGGATGTCACCGGCCAGCCCCAGCTCTGACACCTGCGGGGACCCCACAGTCACCCAGGGACCCAAAATTCACCCAGGGACCCCCAAAATTCACCCAGGGATCACCAGGATTCATCCAGGGACCCCAAAAATTCTTCCAGAGACCCCCCCCCCCCTCCCGAAACCCCAGGACCCCTCTGTCATCCCAAACCAGCCCCGGGGACACCCCAAACCACCCCTCAGCACCCCAGGGACGCCCCTGTCACCCCAAAACCAGCCCCAGGGACCTCCCCCAGCCTCCCTGGGACCCCTCTCTCACCCCAAAACCAGCCCCGGGGACTCTCCAAACCCCCCAGGACCCCTCTGTCACCCCAGCCCAGCCCCCGGCACCCCCCAGCCCCCCGTACCATGTGCAGGGTCTCTGCCCCCGCGGGCCCCGCGGGCCGGACGCCCCTCGGGCCGTGCTCGAACACGGCGCCCTCGGGGGTCCGGGTGCTCTGCAGCCACCCCCCGAAACGGCCGCTGGCCTCCAGCAGCACCACCTGCGGACCCCCGGGACCCCCGGTCACTGCCGGGACCCCCGGTCACAACCAGGACCCCCGGATCAACCCCGGGACACCCGGATCAACCCCGGGACCCCCGGATCAACCCCGGGACCGCCCGGATCAATCCCGGGACCCCCGAATCAGCACCGGGACCCCAGCATCAACCCCGAGAAGCCGAGTCATGCCCGGGACCCCAAATCACCACCCGGACCCCCGAGTCACCCCCGGGACCCCGCGGGAATTAGCGTCCTGTGGGAATTGGGGGTCCCGGGGGACACCGGGGGTCTCTGCAGGGATGGGGGTCCCAGGCTGGGGGGACACCGGGGGGTGACCGGGAAGAGGGGGAGTCCCGGGGAGGGGCGGGCACCGGGAGGGAAGCGGAGCTGGGGGTGCCGGGCTCGGGGGTCCCGCGGGGAGGGCTCGGGGGTCGCACGCTCACCTTGGGCGGGCGGGGGGCGCGCAGCAGGTGGTAGCAGGCGGCCAGGCCGCTGATGCCGCCGCCCACGACGGCCACGGTGGGCGGCATGAGGGGAGCTGGGGCGGGCAGGGTCAGCGAGGCCGCCCGGAGCCCCCAGACCCGCCCGGAGCCCCCAACCCCGCGACCCCTCCTCACCTGTCCCGCGTCCGCCGCGCTGGCCACGCCCCTTCCCGCCGCTTAGTAGGGGAAGGGGCGGGGCGAAGGGCAATCGGACCAATGGGAAGGCGCAGCGCTTTGATGGACAACAGGAGGAAACGCGCCGTGGTGATAAGCCACGCCTGCTGCGCCACCAGCCAATCATCACTCACGCCGTGCCCCATGACCACGCCCATCTCTAATCAAGCAAAAGTGGCCCCGCCTACACATTCAAACCACGCCCACCCAATAGCTGTCAACTCGAAAGCCCGCCCCCCCACCCAAGGCCACGCCCCCTCCCTCTGCCCCGAAACTCGGCGGTTTTTGGGGTTTTTTTAATAAATTTATTCACAAAACCCCCCGGGGCCGCGCGGGCTGCGGCCGCTCCCTCCGCACCCCCCTCTCCGCGGGGCCCGGGGCTCCGGGGGGCTCCGGGGGCGGTTCCCGGGGGGCTCCGGGGCACGGGGGGCTCCCCCGCAGCCCGACCCGCAGGCGGCTCCGGGCGCGGCTCTCAGGCCCTGCGGCCGGGCGGCTCCTCCAGCTCGTAGAACAGCACGTAGCCCTCGCTGGACGGCACCTGGTTCTCGCTGATGGGCGAGACGCTGCGGGGACACCCTCAGCACCGGCCGCGGGGGGCTCGGGGGGGTGCCCGGCAGGGGCTCGGGGGGCTCGGGGGGCACTGACCGGGAGTCGTTGTAGACGCGCCAGCCGGCCGGGTCGCGGCAGAAGGCCGTGTAGTGCCCGTAGTGCACGCTGCCCGAGTGGTTGCACAGCGCGTACAGGCTGTAGACAGGGCTGCCTGCAGCAGGACGGGGTCGGGGTTAGGATCCCCCACCCTAAAACACCCCAAAAAGCGGAGACCCCCCCACCCCAAAAGCCCCCTCTCCACCCGGAGCTCTCCTCACCCGCCTTCTCGCTGGCGAACTCCCGCAGGTTGAGCTGCTGCAGAGGGAAGTCCACGAAGACAGAGCATTTCTTGATGGAGTAGCGCGTGGTGGAGAACCGGTTCAGGTCTGCCGAGGGTTAAGGGAGGGGGGGAAAAAATGGAGGGGTGACCCCCTTTGCCCCCCCCCCCAAAAGTTTGGTGGTGATGGTTCCCAAAGGATACGGAGCACCAGGATGCGTGGGAAGCGCTGGATCGTCAACTTCTTGGTGCTGCGCGTGCGCTGCCGGCACTTGTCACACACCTGGGGGGCAGGGGACATCAGGGAGGGGCTTGGGGACATCGGGGAGGGGTCCCCGGGCGGGGGAGGGGGGGTCCATCCTCTCACCGGGGCGTTCTCTGAGTCCAGCTCCTCCTCCTTGGTGAAGAGGCTGAAGCAGTCGTGCAGCGAGACCTTGCCCCCGGCAAAGCTTTTCTGGAGGGCCACGAGGTCAGGGGGGGAATTTGGGGGGGTCGGGCGGGGAATTTGGGGAGTTTGAGGGGTGGTCCAAGGGGTTTTTAGGGTGTCTGAGGGGTTTGTGGGGTGGTCTGGAGGGTTTTTGGGAGGTCTGAAGGGTTTTTTCTTGAGGGGACTGGGGGGTTTTTGGGATGTCTGGGGGGTTTTTAAATTGGTCTGAGGGGTTTTTGGGATGTCTGAGAAGTTTTTGGATGGGTCTAAGAGGTTTTTGGAGGGGTTTGAGGGGTTCTTGAAGGGGTGTGAAGGGTTTTTGGAGGTGTTTGAAGGGTTTTTGGGGGGTATGAGGGGTTCGGGAGGCGATCTGAAGCATTTTTGGGGCCTCTGAAGGGTTTTCTGGGGGATCTGAAGGGTTTTTGGGGGGTCTGAAGGGTTCTTTGGGGGTCTCAGGGGTTTTTGGAGGGGTCTTTGGAGGGGTCTGAAGGGTTTTGGGGGGGGGGATCTGAGTTGTTTTTGGGGGCTCTGAAGGGTTTTTGGGGGTGTCTGAAGGGTTTTTGGGGTTCCCCCAGCCCTACCTTTGGGATGGGCAGCGAGAGGTCGCAGAACACCTCGAAGGTGGTGGAGCGGTAGCCGCAGGCCTGGCACTTGAGGCAACTCTTCAGCTGCCCCACAAAGAGATCTGGGGGGCAAAAAGGGGAGGTCAGGGGGGCACCCCCAGAGGTTTTTGGGGTCCGGGGGAGGGGGCACACCCCCATTGCCAGCGCTCACCCACGATCTTGCTGTCCTCCCTCTCCAGGTAGCGCTTCCACATCTGGTTGGCGCGCTCGTCGTCGCTGCGGGGGGCGACACCAGGGTGACACACGGTGGGGGGGGGGGGGGGGGGCGGGGGGGGGGGGGGGGGGGGGGGGGGGGTCAGCTGCCCCCAAAATCGGGGTTCCCCCCTCCCCAGCAGCCCCTCCCCCATCTCACCTGAGCGTTTCGGGGTCCTCCAGGGCCGGGGGTCTCCGTGTGTCCGACAGGATGCTGGGGGTGCGCCGGCCCTTCCTGTTAATCTCCACGTGCAGCCGGTCCATGAAGAACTTGAGGAATTCCTGCGCGTCCTGCTGGCTGCGGGGACGGGGACGCTTTGTGCCCACCCCCGGGGCGGGGGGGGGGTCCCCGGGGGGATCCCCAAAGGTTTTGGGGGGGTGTCTCACCTGTAACCCGTGAAGGAGGGCACGTATTTTTGGAACACGGCCTTGAAGCGCCCGGGGTTGACGGCCTCGGAGGAGTCGGGGTGCCAGAGGGCGGCGATGACATCGGCGAAGGCTGCAGGGACACGGGGGACACGGCGGGGTCAGCGCCCTCGGGGAGAGTTATGTAACGCTCTGGGGGGGCTGCGGGAGTTTTGGGGTGTCTGTCCCACCTTCGGTGAGCTCCTGGGGGGCGCGGGGGCCGGGGGGCTGCTCCTGCTGGAAGTCCCGGCGCAGGCAGTAGTCGCGCAGCGGTTTGGTGCTGCTCAGGCACTGCAGCACCGCGTTCATGAAGCACTGCGAGGGGACACGGGGACATCCCGGCATGTGGCAGCTCACCACGGGTCCCTCAGGGTGTCCCCTCCGCTGTCCCAGGTGCCCCGAGGGGCAGGGGGAACCCGGGGATGTGATGTCCCCAGTGGGATGGGACTGTGGTGGGACAGCCACAAAGAGGCTTGGGGACACTGAGGTGACCCCCAGGTGACACCAACGGACCCTTAAAGGACACCAAAGGGACACCAGATCCCTCCCACAGCCCAGGACAGGAGGGTTGGGGACTGTGGGGACACCACTGTGGGGCTGGGGGACATCCCCAGCAGGACGAGACCAGGGCCACCAAGGATGGGTGACCCCGAGGTGACCCCAAATCCCTCCCGCAGCCCAGGACAGAGAGACAGGATTGGGGACCCTGGGGACAGCGCTGTGGGGCTGGGGGAGCTCCAGGAATGTCACCTCCCAGGAGGACAGGACCACGGCCACCGAGCATGGGTGACCTCGAGGTGACCCCAAATCCCTCCCGCACCCCAGAACAGCTCCCCGGGAGGGGCGGGATGCCCACGGCCGCTTACCGTGTTGCCCAAATTCCTGAGGCCGACGTGGCCCGAGCCCAGCAGCAGCGTGTGGTGGGTCTGGGGGGACAGCGAGGGACACCCGGTGAGCCGCGCCACGGCCGCGCCGTCCCCCCGGGCGTCCCCCGGCGGCGGTGGCTTCACCTCGCCGGTGACCAGCAGCAGCCCCATGACCGCCGTGTGCACCACGGACTCGGAGATGTCGGTGGCCCGGCCCTGCAGCTCCCGCCGGGTCACCAGCGAGCGGTGCAGCTTCCGCGGCAGCTCCACCAGCGTGGCCCCCTGCAGCCCCGGCATGGTGGCACCGCCTCGGTGGCACCGGCTCGGTGGCTCCGGGGTGGCCCCCCGCGGGACCGATGGCACCGCTGCCGGTCACCGGAGCGTCCCCTCCCCCTCAGCTCATTAGCTGATCCGATTCTCCCGGCTATTCTGGGCCCCGCGAGGCTCATCCCGGGGGATTAATTAGCCGGAGATGCCCCTGGGGACAGCGAGAGCCCGGAGGGGTGCCGAGGTAAACACCCCCCAAAAATCCCTGCCCGCTTTCCATCGAGGGGTTTCGGGGGTCCGGCGGGGCTGCGGGACCCCCCGAGGCAGCGCTGGGGACATCCCGAGGGGGGACGAGGCGGGGTGGCCGTGCCCAGGTGGCATTTCGGGGATTACGATCCCCCCACACGTGGCCGGGCAGGTGAGGGATGGGACGGGGGGGGGAGGCGGATGCGGAAACGGGGAGGGGGAAGCGGCCACCCCCGGCCACCTCAGTGCCACCAGGGTGCCACCGGTCACTCGTGGTCACCCTGGAGCTGTGGGGACAGAGCCCAGAGGCACAAGGATGGCACCGGCCACCCCCAGCCCCCTGAGGTGTGGGGGACAGCAGCGACCCCCCCTCAGAGGCGTGGGGGTCCCCAAAACAGGACTGGAGCGGGGACAGGTGAGACTGCCACCACTGTCCCACCCTGGCGATGTCACCGAGCCTGAGAGCAGGGACACCGCGGGGGTCACAAAATGTCCCTGAGGATGGGGACAGCGTGGGGGTCTGAAAGTGTCCCCAAGGCTTGGGGACACTGCGAGGGTCTAAAAATGTCCCCAAGGCTTGGGGACACTGCGAGGGTCTAAAAATGTCCCCAAGGCTGGGGACACTGCGGGGGTCTCAGCACGTCCCCAAGGCTGGGGACACCGCGGGGGTCTCAGCACGTCCCCAAGGCAGGGGACACGGCGCCCCACGCCACAGCCCCGCCCGCCCG